AAAAAAATCTAAATGAAGAAAGTTGGGTAAGAAAAATAATCTTGTTTTTCCTTTGAATTAAGTTTATTGTTCTTACCCCATAGACAGATTTTTTTTTCTTGTTTCAATCAGACACCTAATTTTCATAAATTTTTCAGAAAAGAAGACTTATATCTTAAGTCATTTTGATTCTCAAGTAAATCTTGTTTTGTTATAACTTTAAGATATTATATTTTCCTTTAGATGGTTTAGATATTTGTATTGGTAAAAAAGATATATATATATATATATATATATATATAACATACACATATAATATATATATATACACATATACAAGAAATATTAAGTATTTATTTTTTTTAAATTGGGTTGTCTGTTGTGTTTTTGGATTGGAGAAAAGCACATTATTGTTTAAAGAAATGAAACTGCTTTGCCTTTTTTTATATATTTACATAAAATTTGATATTTTTATGCCATGTCACTCATTGACGAAACCATCAGGAAAGGCCTCAGTTGATTTTTTTTTTTTTTGCTAGTATCAAATTTTTAGCTTCACTATCGCTAAATACATTCCCTCTGAAGGTGAAAAATTAATTCAAGCATCATCTTAGTAAAGCAGTTTCTTGTACTGAAAAGAATGGCATCAGAAGTGCAGGTGCCATAACCAGGGGCGGACTTACCCATTAGGCAAAGGTAGGCGACTGCCTTGGGCCCCCAAAAGCCAAGGGCCCCCTAAAATGCTTTTCATATAGGAGATGCGCATTAAGCGCTGACACGCGAACGGTTGCTGATTACGGGGTTTATTACCATGACAACCGTCTGAGTTGAACGTGATTTTTGTGTATCCTGCTTGAAGGAGATGAAAATATTATGCATCTGAAGCTGTAATTAAATATTGAGAAATAGTGTGTATTATATGTTTGTACTGTAATTGTTTTAAATGCCGCTTACTCATTTATGAGAAGGAACCAAGTAGAGGACACATATGCAGTTACTTTTTTGGTTGATATAATCCTTAGGTGTGTAAATGTATAATTGCCTTTTCATAATTTTTTCAGTTGCATTTAAATTTGTAGTTAAAATAACTAAAAATAAATGTATTTTAAAGTTTAGAATTAGACAGCCTTTGCACACAGGCTTACGCTGGTAACTCATCAGTGGACTTTCCTCCTCAATATAGGCTATATGTTTTCACATTTTTCTCATTCTACTGTATATTTCTGACGTTCCAAAAGCGCCTCCTACTGGCAGAGAATAAATGTTCATTTTCAATAATCCAGTCTGTAGTTTTTGTTCAGACCAATGCGAAAATCCACCCACATAACCCTGTTTTAAATTAATATAATAATTTATACTTCTGACTCACCCCTGGTTTACACGCTCAATTGTGAGGTTTATCATTTTATAATTTATTTTGTTTTTGTGAAAACCTGTATCTCAACTGTAAATCAGTTGCTATTTCATGGTCTACAACATAAAAGAAAGACATTATAACATGTACATGAAAAATGTAGAAACATTGGACACAATTATGGGGCACCATTGTGCAGCAGCAAGCATCACAACAAAACAGGAACCTCAAGGTTGATCTAGGAAAATGTGTGCAAATGTATAGGGCCCCATTCCTATATTTTGCCTGGGGTCCCCAATTCACTAAATCCGCCCCTGGCCATAACGACAAAACAGCAGGTATAGGTGTACAATATGGACATTTAAATACCATCGATTTCTTTTCATTGTGGCAGTTTGGCTGAAGGAGGGAAGGAGTCAGATGCAATTGCAAGGATGGAAATCGCAACACGATCCAAGGGTGAGAATTGTGCTTGATGAGATGAGAGTGGCACATTTATCAAGTGTCAAAACAGTGCAAACACGTCATGTTTGTTAAGCTTCCATTTTTGTTGATGCTTTGTGGTCGGATTTAATTTGTTTGGTATAGTTTAGTTTATACCTACAGTTTTAACTCTAAGTTTGTGTCTGTAATCTGTCCCATTGCTGTGCAGTCTCTGATCAAGGGTCAGCAGAGAGGACCGTCCCTAAGCGCAAGGTTTCCAGCCCCCCTCACTCCTCAAACGGACACTCGCCATCGGAATCCTCCTCCAGTCCTGTCAAAAAGAAGAAGAAACCAGGAGCCGTCAATAACAGTAAAGACCAGGTGCAACTTTCACTCCCTGCACAAGGCCCTTGTTCAGTCCTGCATGACAGTCATTCACTAATTTCAGTGTCTGTCTGTCTGTTTTTGTTTTTTTTATTTTGTCTTTTGGGCGACTTCTTCGTGGTGATTTCTCTACAGGATTTAATGGTATTCATTACTATCATCCTAATATAGATGTACATTTTATGATTTAGTAACAGTAAAGACCAGGTGCAACTTTCACTCCCTGCACAAGGCCCTTGTTCAGTCCTGCATGACAGTCATTCACTAATTTCAGTGTCTGTCTGTCTGTTTTTGTTTTTTTTATTTTGTCTTTTGGGCGACTTCTTCGTGGTGATTTCTCTACAAGATTTAATGGTATTCATCATTACTATCATCCTAATATAGATGTACATTTTATGATTTAGTTCACTGTTTCGCCACCTGAAACAGTGCCAAACTTTATTTTTGGCCACTTTAAGATTTGTGTGCACTTTTGGCAAATGTTACAAAATCTGCCAAGAGCCTTGTCAATTAATAATTAAATTTTCTGATTGCAAATATTTTGTTAAATAAAAATATATTTAATTTTAGTCATTATCAAAATCTTATCACTCTTATCACAAAAAATATTTAGGCCTATATTTAAGATTTATGTATTTTAATTGCATATAAAATTTACATCCATTTGGATTAAACCGTTTTAACATAAACTAATTAACGTAATGTGATGCATATTTGTTTGTCACATATAATTGAAACAAGTAAGGATGAGATTTATGTAATATTACTAAAAAACAAACAAATGTGTTTTATATACACTATCCAGGTTTATATATTTGTCATATAAATCCAATTTATTAAATGTAAACTAATTCATACATTTTAACCACTTAAATATATATAATGTTCAAAATTTTTAACTGATTAAATGTAATTGTATTCACAATTAACATTTATGCTGATTCTAGAAATCAAATAGATGCAAATACTTAAGTAATTTTCCTATTGTTTTTCAAGTATACTTGCTTGAAAACATTTTGCTGATATTTTAGCACCAAGAAAATGAAACGGTTTGCTGTTTTTAGCAATAAGTAGCAGTTTTTAAATTAAGAGTCAGATGTGGAGTACATTATCTTCATCAAGTTTGCATCAAGTTTAAACTTTTTAAAAATTAAATAACTTATATGGATTTATAATTTTAATAATAGCTATATTTAGACTGATGTCCTGAAAATTAAATAAGTAAATCAATGAATATTAAATCGAAAGGCCTCTTTTATCAGGCTATTATAGTAGCAAGAGTTCAATATCAATATATTAATACATTCCTGTGTTCTTGTTTTATTTGTTACCGTTGAGTATACAGTCAAACCTAAAATTATTCAGACACCAGATATCATTTTTGATATTTTTTTTTACTACTATGTAACTACAGAAGAGTCAAGTTTTAAATAGGAAACATATAGAAACTCTTTTGTCATTTTTGAGCGAGATGCTAACGGTCTAATCAGATTCAATGATCTATGCTAAGCTACAGCTAAAAGTGCTACCGCCAGACCCGGAGATCGGCTGAATGGATTCGAAAACGGTAAAACTCAACTGTTTAACTCTAGGGGAGTTGGAAAATGAGCCTATTGTCAAAAATAGTGGAGTGTTCCTTTAAGTGTTATCTGACATTATCAAGATGAATTTGTTCTGAAACAGTTTAACTCTGTGTTCTTGTCATATATTATTACCATTTTCTAAACTATATGAATAAACTGTGATAATGTGTGAAAGGTGTCTGAATAAATTTTGGTTTGAATGTACATGTTTTGACTGATGTGGCTATTGCATCCCACCTTAAACATCATCACATACACTGTTTTTTCAGCATCTCACACCATGAGCATTTGCTCAACAGCAACCATATGCAAACAGACCACACTTATTGTCAAACCCTGGTATAAGCTATTGATAAACCCTCAAGTTGACTACTACAGTTTTTTTTTTTTGCAGGGAATCCAAACAAAACATTTTACCTTCTAGAAAAGTGTCATCTTTCGACAGTGACATTAATTTTCACAAACAGCCTAAGGTCCGTGCCTTCAGATAGTGAGCCCAGCCAAACAAATGCAAGGCAGGTGGCTGTCATGCGAGCTAAGCAGAAATGTGTATCCAGGGACAGCCTATGATTCATGTTGATGCAGCTGCAATGAATAATTAGACCTGAGCTTGTTTCCACCACTAACAAGGATGCATTTACTTTCACGTTACAGATTGAAATTCCATTAATTTAATGCTCATTAATCTACATTTGCCCTTTTCTGTCCTTCCATGCCACTCCCTGATCGATAACCGTTGTGCCTGTTTGTTTTGTCTTGTTACCTTTAATACCCATGTTTTGAAACCCCAACCCTCTGTTTCTCTCGCCCGCATTCCAGTCAGAACTAAGACATGGTCCCTTTTACTATGTGAAGCAGCCCGCACTCACCACAGACCCTGTTGATGTTGTACCGCAGGACGGGCGGAATGACTTCTACTGCTGGGTGTGCCACCGCGAGGGCCAAGTGCTCTGCTGTGAGCTCTGCCCGCGCGTCTACCACGCTAAGTGCCTCAAACTGGCTGCAGAGCCCGAGGGAGACTGGTTCTGCCCTGAATGTGAGGTACTGGCTCATGCAGCTCTACTTTGTCTAAAAAATAATTTATCTTCACAGTGCAGATTGTTAGATATTTGGAAATGTTTTATTTTGGGCAAGATATACTACAGACAAAAACATAGTTTATTTTATTACACTTTTTTTTTTAAATCTATTTGCATCTGTAGATTTCAATTACAATACGTTTCTTTACAATACATATCTTTTTTTTTGTTCCATCTACTGTATATTCTGAAGTTTTTTTTACAGAGAGGTTTGTTCATATTGATTTGCTTGATTTTATACACCATTTTGTTCCTAAAAACATGGTGATTTTTTTTTTCTGGCTGTATTTTCTGATTTATGGAGTGTTAAAAAAAAGACATCTGAAATCAGTTTTGTAAAAACCATTGACCCTGATACGTCAACAAAATGAAACTTTTTGAACCTGGCTTTATCCATTGTTCAGATTTCTGTTCTGGAAATTTGTGATAATTATTGCATAATTAATTAGATAATGCCTTATTTGCATATTTAAACATAACATTTCAGAAAACTTGTAATACAAATTTTTTTTGCAATTCTTAATGGAATTAATCAACTGGGGAAGTATGGCAATATCTATTAGTTAAATTAACTTTTAATTGTTTTTTTTTCTCTCCAAAATCCATTTGTAATATTAGTCAAGGTTTCTTTCACTAAAAAGTCATACTTTTGTTTTACCTGACAATATTCCACCCTCTCTGACTTTTAGAATTAAACAGGCTTATTTTGCTACTGTAACTTTAAAATGTCTATATTGCATGTAAATTACTGCTTTTACGATTGGCTAACTTTTTTGCATGTGAAATTAGTAATGCTCATACTAAGTTACTGAATACTAAACATAAGCTGTAACTGGCAGCATACCATGCCAGTGATAACTGAATTAATTTTTGCATACATTTTTAAAACTCTTTCAACAGAAAAAGAATATTCTGCTTTTTACGATATGTGACCCTGGACCACAAAACCAGTCTTAAGTCGCTGGGGTATATTTGTTAAAAATTAAAACTGAATTTTTGATTAGTAGCCTAATATGCATTGCTAAGAACTTAATTTGGACAACTTTAAAGGCAATTTTCTCTATTTAGATTTTTTGGCACCCTCAGATTCCAGATTTCGAAAAAAATTGACCCTTATGACTGGTTTTGTGGTCCAGGGTCACATATAGAAACATCCCTTTAATATTTGAATTAAAATAAAGCTTTAAGCATTTCTCTCTTTTGTTTACAGAAAATAACAGTTGCAGAGTGCATAGAGACTCAGAGTAAAGCTATGACGATGCTCACATTGGATCAGCTGTCTTTCCTGCTGAAGTTTGCTCTCCAGAAGATGAAGCAGCCTGGTGTAGGTTTCATGACTTTCCGTGACTCTGCTTTTGCAGATCCATGATTTAGTCTACATTTGAGAGCCGTGCCTAGAACTAGCACAAAAAAAGCAATTGTGAGAAATTGTAATGTTTTCCCACTTTTTTTAGCATTGTACACTTCAATATGAAATGAGAGCCTTACATTTAAGCCCCTTTCCTCATAGAACAGGCACAGACACATTCTGCCCACCTGAAAAGCTTCATGAATGTCTCAATGGTGCTTTTTGGGGTTACATTCACAGTAGAGCCTTTACATCATAATTTGGTTTGTTAGGTTGGGTTAAAAGTGTTTTTTTTTTAAACGGTATGCCAACACAAGTGTCATTCTGTGCGTACAATGCACTGTAAAAAATCCTATTCAATTTACAGTAAAAAAACTGGAAGCATTGGCTGCCAGAAATTAATGGTAAAAAAAAATATGGTTACAATGTTTTAGGTATTACGGGATGATTTTATTTTATTTTTTTACCTCTAATACTAAAATATATTTTTATTTTCTTCAGACGGAGCCATTTCAGAAGCCGGTGTCTTTGGAACAGCATCCTGATTATGCAGAATATATATTTCATCCCATGGATCTCTGTACTTTAGAAAAGGTGAAAGCGAAGCATTTGAATCTGATCTGATATTCCTAATTCTTAGGAATGTCTAAAATCTGGCATCTTATGAAAGTGTTTTATTAGTGTGTTCACTTTTTGTTCCTATTCAGAATATTAAAAAGAAAATGTACGGCTCCACTGAGGCTTTCCTGGCTGATGTGAAGTGGATTTTGCACAACTGTATCATTTATAATGGAGGTCGGTTGCTAACGGTTCCACTGTACTGTCAAATTAGTTTCTGCTGAATGTTTGTTTTGTTAAAACTATCTCTTTGCGTCTGTTTTTCTCTTAGGCAACCATAAACTTACAGCAACAGCTAAAGTTATTGTAAAGATCTGTGAACATGAAGTATGTATTGTAAATTGTAAGCCAAAATAAGTACATACTTTATTCAGTGCCAGTTTTTAAATACCAATTGCCTTTCAGATGAATGAGATCGAGGTCTGTCCAGAGTGCTATCTCTCTGCATGCCAGAAAAGGGATAACTGGTTTTGTGAACCATGTGTGAGTGTATTACACTAAACAAAATTAAATTCCTTCTTCACATAGTAACCAGTGTGAGTTAACCATCTGTTCATGAAATATTTGTGTGCATCAGAGCAACCCCCACCCTCTGGTCTGGGCCAAGCTGAAGGGATTCCCATTTTGGCCTGCCAAAGCTCTTCGAGACAAAGACGGACAAGTGGATGCACGGTTCTTTGGGCAGCACGACAGGTGAGGAACCGTTGAACTGGGTCCCAACCATACACACAAAATCAAACTATAAATCAATTTGCTCAATGTTAATCTTAGCTTTTAACCAGAAGTGACCGACCGACCGTGTTGCGCAATAGAATTTTGACAGTCCATTTATAGGTTGACCACTTCTTCTTTTAAAAACATTATTTAATTATTATATTTTTAAAATATATTTATTCTACATTCTGCCCAATGTTCTCCTCTAAAATGAAGGCTATAAAAGTATTAATTATTCCAAATATTATTGCATAAATATTACAAATATACATAATATTTATGTAATATGTATTATGTAATCAATATTACAGTGTTATATAAATATATTAACTGTGCTATGCATTTAAGGTTTCAAATATGAACATTACATTATTACAAAAATACATACATACATACATACATTTTATCCTATAAAAGTAAGAGACTTCCTAAATTCATATCCAGTTTTTTTTTCCCAACTTTTTTTTATACATAAAACAACTTCTGTGTGCACAGAACCAACTAATAAAATTTGTTATTGATTATTTTCATTATGGATTTTTTTTTTTTCAATTATATCAATTATTGCAGCCCTACATTTTTCCAAAATCATGTTTCTCATATCTTTATACAAAACCAATATGTTCTGATTGGATATGATTGATATTCTGATGCTTTTCACTCTAGGTGAAGACAGAAAAATTACTTGACACTTCTTTATAGAAAACACTTGTCGTCACTTCACTGTTTTTTTATTTATTTATTCTAACTTCGTTTTTATATACAGGGCCTGGGTTCCTATTAACAACTGCTACCTCATGTCCAAAGAGATCCCCTTCTCTGTGAAGAAGACCAAGAGCATCTTCAACAGTGCCATGCAAGAGATGGAAGTCTACGTAGAGAACATCCGGAAAAAATTTGGAGTCTTCAATTACGCTCCATTCCGCACACCCTACACACCAGACAACCAGTTCCAGATGCTCCTGGACCCGGCAAACCCTAGCGCGGGCTCCGTCAAACCTGAAAAACATGAGAAGATCAAGTTCAGCTTTGATGTAACGGCATCTCCAAAGTTGCTTATGGGTAAGAGCATGGTGTCCAGTGGAAACGTTGGAGGCGGGACAGGAAGGCGAATCTCAATGACGGACATGCCTCGTTCACCAATGAGCACTAACTCCTCTGCCCATACGGGATCTGATGGAGAACAGGAGACTGCAGAGAAAGGTCATGCTAGAGCGGCCCTGCCACATTACAGCACTGGAGAGGAGTCAGTGGACTGCACTGGTATATATAACATGAAATGTTTCCTGATAATATTTAAACAGAATGATTTGTATGACTAAAGCTCATTTCTACTCTTACAGCATCGCCTGCCCCTCCTAGAGCAGGTCTCACAGGAAACACCTTAGAGAGCCCTAAACCTTTCCATTCACCGGCTCCCAGCACCCCTGTTAAACAGGAGAAGACCCCCACTACCGGCAGCATCCTCAACCTCAACCTCGGTAAACCCCCTTCAGTTGATTAATCTGCTGCTTGTTTCTTTGATTAATTGTTTTATCTGATAATAGCCACATTTTATTTTCTGAATATACGCTAGTATTCAAAAGTGTGGGGTCAAAAAGATTTTAAAATGTTTTTCAAAACCTCTCATGTTCACCAAGGCTGCATTTATCTGATCGAAAGCACAGTTTTACAGAAATATTGTGAACTGTTTTCTATTTAAATTAATTTCAAATCTAATTTATTCCAGTCTTCAGTGTCACACGATCCTCACATGATCCTAGAAACATTTCTTATTATTATCAGTGTTGGAAATAATTTTTCTTTACAGAATTCTTTGGTAAATACAAAGTTCAAAAGAACAGCATTTATTTGAAATATTTTCTTTTTATATATTGAGTATTTTCTTTTGATAAATTTAATGCACGCTTGCAGAATAAAAGTATTAATTTCTTGAACAAAAAAAAACCTGACTATATAACATGTTATATCACATCTTGCCCACTGTTCTCTTCCAAATTGAAGGCTAATTTCTTTGACTTCAGGTAAAGCCACTCCCATTTCAAGCGGTCTCACCCAGCCTCAAAACTCAACAGTCCTTTCCTCCTCCTCAACTATTAAAGACCCATCTCAATCCCCGATGACCGTCCCGCTTAACATAATACCATTCACAGCAGCTCCAACCAACACAACTTTGACCTCCTCGACCCTCCCCATCACCACTCCCTCCACCGCCAACAGTTCCTCACCCATCTCCACCAGCACAGTAAAGAAACAGAGACCTTTACTGCCCAGAGAGACCAGAGATGGAAGTCTACGTAGAGAACATCCGGAAAAAATTTGGAGTCTTCAATTACGCTCCATTCCGCACACCCTACACACCAGACAACCAGTTCCAGATGCTCCTGGACCCGGCAAACCCTAGCGCGGGCTCCGTCAAACCTGAAAAACATGAGAAGATCAAGTTCAGCTTTGATGTAACGGCATCTCCAAAGTTGCTTATGGGTAAGAGCATGGTGTCCAGTGGAAACGTTGGAGGCGGGACAGGAAGGCGAATCTCGATGTCGGACATGCCTCGTTCACCAATGAGCACTAACTCCTCTGCCCATACGGGATCTGATGGAGAACAGGAGACTGCAGAGAAAGGTCATGCTAGAGCGGCCCTGCCACATTACAGCACTGGAGAGGAGTCAGTGGACTGCACTGGTATATATAACATGAAATGTTTCCTGATAATATTTAAACAGAATGATTTGTATGACTAAAGCTCATTTCTACTCTTACAGCATCGCCTGCCCCTCCTAGAGCAGGTCTCACAGGAAACACCTTAGAGAGCCCTAAACCTTTCCATTCACCGGCTCCCAGCACCCCTGTTAAACAGGAGAAGACCCCCACTACCGGCAGCATCCTCAACCTCAACCTCGGTAAACCCCCTTCAGTTGATTAATCTGCTGCTTGTTTCTTTGATTAATTGTTTTATCTGATAATAGCCACATTTTATTTTCTGAATATACGCTAGTATTCAAAAGTGTGGGGTCAAAAAGATTTTAAAATGTTTTTCAAAACCTCTCATGTTCACCAAGGCTGCATTTATCTGATCGAAAGCACAGTTTTACAGAAATATTGTGAACTGTTTTCTATTTAAATTAATTTCAAATCTAATTTATTCCAGTCTTCAGTGTCACACGATCCTCACATGATCCTAGAAACATTTCTTATTATTATCAGTGTTGGAAATAATTTTTCTTTACAGAATTCTTTGGTAAATACAAAGTTCAAAAGAACAGCATTTATTTGAAATATTTTCTTTTTATATATTGAGTATTTTCTTTTGATAAATTTAATGCACGCTTGCAGAATAAAAGTATTAATTTCTTGAACAAAAAAAAACCTGACTATATAACATGTTATATCACATCTTGCCCACTGTTCTCTTCCAAATTGAAGGCTATAAATTAAAATAATTTTAGGTACGTAGACATCACTGTGTGCATAAAAATGTTTAAAATATAAATGTTACATAATATATGTAATGTTACAACATGAAATTTAATGTGAACAGAAACAAGGCTGTGATGGAGGGAATGGAAGTCTGTTCAATATGTTGTACTGTGTGAAAGTAAACATGAAATCAAAATTGACTATATTTAATTTCTTCACAATAAGACATTAAGGTCTCATTGTGGATAATTCATTGGTGATGCTATTCCACAAAAAGCCTTTCTAAATCTTCCTAGATCTTATTTATACTTGATGTCCTGTAGCTCAAATACGGATGTAATGAGGATCGAATGAGTATGCTTTTAGATCTGCTCATAGCGGTCTAGTGAGAGCCATGTGATCTCTTTCAGATCGTAGTAAGGCAGAGATGGACCTGAAGGAGCTGAGTGAAAGTGTCCAGCAACAACAGCAGCATGGGGCTCAGCCCTCCCTCACCTCCCCTAAGAGACAGATCAGAAGCCGTTTCCAACTTAACCTGGATAAGACCATAGAGAGCTGCAAAGCACAGCTGGGTGAGTTCAGATTGAAATCTGTCATAAGAAACACAACAGCCATTTTCACACTTTGAATTGACATACAATTGCAATTGCAACAACTTTCAGTGTTTTGCTGCCATTCACAAACCATTCTGTTAAAACTCTCTGATGGTATTACTTGCGTTTCTTAAAAAGCATTTTTGTTTTGTTAGTCCAACATGAGTTTTGTGACAAAACATACATATTTTTCAACTAATTATGCCTATATCTTCCCTGTTAGGTAAAATACAGTTTTGCTTAACTCATTACACCTTCTGCAATATCTAATAGTTTTTAGAACAGCATTTTTAGAATTCTAAATATAATTTTTTTGAGCGCTTTTTAAATAGTCCTGTTTTCATCACCAGTGAGTTAGTTACACTCTATAATCCTTTTCATTTATAATGACTTATTGATAGAGAATGTGCAGCCATTGTATTACTTTCCTGAAGGTTAAACATGTCTGTGTCTCACAGGTATAGATGAAATATCTGAGGATGTGTATAAAGGCGTAGAGCACAGCGATACAGAGGAATCCGACAAGTCTGTCTCCAGCGACAGTGAATACGGTAGTGACGATGAACAGAAATCTAAGAGCGGCCAAGATGACAAAACCGTAGCTGATGATAAAAATGAGAAAGAGCCACCCAAGAAAAAGTCAAAACCATCGGCGGCTGCTGGTGAGGGCAAAGACAGCAGTGCAGAGTCTGCTGTTACAGCCAGTACAACAACCAAAGGAGAAACCAGCCAAAAAACAAGCACCTCCGAGCCTATAACTAAAGACAAACCAGGTATGGATTCAGAGAAAGAACCTCCTGAGAAACTGAAAGCTGCTCCCGCATCCCCAGATCCCAGAGAGAAACCCAAGGGCTCTGAGGAGGCCGTGCAGCCAGCATCTGTGGATGAAGACATGGACTCGGACTCTGAGAGGGAGCTGGTCATTGACCTGGGAGAAGAGCAGGCAGGGAAGAAGAGGAAGAGGAACAGGAAAGATTCAGCCGCTGTCACTGCACTCAAAGAGCCCACAGCCTCCAAACCTGAAGGTCAGATTCTCTTTATGAATCAGTGCCAATAAAGCAGTAAATAATACTGTTAATATAGTTGCACCAGATGCTATTAGATCAGCATCAAGTAATTTTTATGTTACTATTGAAAGTGAATCAGTATGCAAAACAATAAAAATCACAACCAATCAGATGATAGTTGATGTTTAAAGGTGCACTCAGTAATTTTATTTATAAAAGTAATTAACAATAAATCAAAGAATAAAAGATTTAAATAATATAAAATTGATATATACATTATATAATTATATTAGCCCCATAAAATCTGTTTTATTTTACATGGATCTAGTGGGTTGCTTCATGCTGATCTGCTAATCGCCACATGCTCACATGACTTGCCGTATACTACTACTACTCAGTAACCCCGTTATTATCAGACGTTTTCACTTACAGATTAAAACAATTATAGCTGACTGCAAATTCACACAATGGTAAGCAAAAACTTTTTGATTTGCCTGATCAACGCTCTTGTCGCACAGCGGAATCGCTCTCTCTTGTTTCACACAAACGCAACTGGCGCCATCTTGCATCTCAGTCATCGATTGTGTTGAAATTGAAATTCACCTCAGATAACTTCTTTATTAATATTACTGTAATATTATTGCAGTGTTCGTATTGTTTCTAAGCCAGTTGTTTTGTACGTTGCAGTAGATGTTAAGATAAATACAATACCTTCAGCATAAATGAATAATTCTTGCCCATGTATGTATTTATGAAGCCTAAGATGACTGCCATATTATCAACATATACAAAAATGTTTTGTGCATTTTTAAAATTAAACCATTGTTTATTTGGATTTTGAACCATTCTAAGATTCAACTGGACAAAACCTGAAACCAGTAAACCAACACGTCTTGTTGAAAAATTCTGATTATTGCTTGCCTCTTTATATTGTTTCCCTGGTTGGATACAAGGTAAATTGGCTAATGTGTTCTTATGCCAGAGATACTCTTATAATTTTTATTAATAGTTTAAATGAAAGTATTAAGTTATTTTAAGTTATTATTAAAGTCATTTTATTTTGTTTTTTTTTGTCTTTTTTTATTCGTTTTTTTAAATATCTAATAATATTTAGAATTTGTTTTTACTTTTATATTTTCTGTCTTTGTTTTAAAGTTTTAGTAATTTTGTCATACATTTTAGTTATTTACAATAGTCACCGAGTTTCAAATTTAAATGAAA